GCCGGGGCTGGGCTGGGGACGCCCGGGGAGAAGTCCGGGGTGTGCCCGCCTCCGTGCAGACCGGGGGCCGCTCGGAGGAGCTGGGCCCGCCAGGCTGGGTGCCCCGGGCGGGTCCCCTCCTGGGCCCCACCCCTAGGTGCATGGGGTCCCCTCCGGGTGCCCCAGGGCCCAGCTGGGCTGCTGCCCTCCGGGGCAGGGGCCCCAGCTTCCGGCCGCCGCCCTCCTGACCGCCCTGACCCGCACGGCTTCTTCCCTCGCACAGAGGCAGTAACGAAACTTCAATTTGACCATCAGGAGCCCCTGAGACAGGCCCGCGGCCTCCCCGGCCTCGCTGCCCCTGCTCACCGTGCCCTGGACAGGGCGCCCAGGAGGCCGCCGCCCTCCCAGAGGGGCAGGCCCGGTGCTGGCCCCCAGACTGCGGGGCTGACGCCCCAGACACGAAGCCCTCGCTGTCCCCAGCGGCTGGGGCTCATCAGGCCAGTGACCAGGAGGGGCCTGGACTGCAGGCGGCCGCGCTGCGCTGGCCTGGCCAGAGGAAGACAGAGGACCCGCAGAGGAAGACAGAGGGCCGGCCCCGTGCGGCCTCCCTGCAGGACGGCCCCTGCCAGGCCCGCTGGCCGCAAGCAGAGCCCCTGGCCGGCAGCGAGGGCAGGCCGGTGCCCGTGGGGCAGGGGCAGTGCCCACTCGCTGCGGCAGGCGCTGGAGGCGCCGTGGCCTCTGACCGGCGGGCCCAGCGCTGAGGGCGGACGTCAGAGCCATGCGAGGCCCTGGAGCCAGCAGCACTCGGCTTTTGAGGGGTTCAGCCTGCGCCCCGTCTGCCTGGCCGCGGTGATCCAGGGCCGCACAGTTGTCCCGGCCTGTGGGCCTGGCCCGGTCCCGGCACCACCTGTCGGGGTTCGGACCGAGTGGGGGGCGGGGCCCCGCCTGCCAGCTTCAGGGCGCGCCCGGCCGGTCCTGTGACGCTGCTGCCCGCCACACGGGTGCCAGTGGACAGAGCCCGCCCTCCCGCACTTGCCAGCTGCACCTGGACGTGCACCCAGGCCCGACTGGCAGTGTCCACTGGGCTGCGGGGGCCAGGCTGGGGCCTGTCCAGCGCCAGTGTTCCTCGAGTCGGGCCAGGCCGTGAGCAGCACAGCGGCTTCCTCAGAGGACCACGGGCCAGAGCCAGTTGGGGTGATGCAGCACCCCAGCCTCATGGGGTGACTGTCCAGCCGCGTTGCCCACAGGGAGATGTCACCTAGGGCCTGGCTGGGCCCCGTGGCCACCTCTAGCCGGGCGGCCTTGCTGCCCTGGGGGCCTGCTGCCTGTGCCCGCTCCTGCGGGCGGCGTGGGCACCTGGGTCTCGGTGGGTCAGGCCAGACCTCACTGGAGACAGCCGCCGCTGCGCGGGCAGGAAAGGTGACCGCTGACGCCGGCACAGGCAGACGCGGGCGCTGTGACGCGCGTATTTATTGACGCAGACACTGGGCGGCGGCTGAGGGAGGCCCCAATAAATGAACGTCCACTGCGCCTCTGCCCCGCTCTCCCTCCCAGGCGCCGTGGGGGACGTCCTTGCCGCTGGCCAAGCCCCGCGCGCCCCCCGCCGTGTCCAGTCTCGGGTTGCGCCAGGCGCCAAGGCCCAGCACGGCCCCGGGGTCCCCCGCCCTCACTGTGGCGTGGGCGCCTTGCAGGAAGACCCGCCCCGCAGCGGGGGCGCCTGGGACCCGCGCGCAAGGCTGCTGGGCCTGTGCCCGGGGCTCGGGACAGGCAGGAGCCCGGCGCCCGCCCGAGCACTGTCGAGGCTGCTGGGTGTCCAGCGGGAGGGCCGGGGCCTGGCGTCCCGTCCCGGAGCGCCTCCCCGCAGCCAAGGGCTTGACAGCCTGGGCTGGACAGTGCAGGGCGGCCGAGGCTGGCGCGGCCCGGCCCTGGGGCAGGCTTTGGAGCCGTGGGGTGGGGTGGGAGGGGTGTGGAAAGCGTGTGCCCTCGCGGGGCGGGCTGGCAGCAGCGCAGGGCC